ATTTAGTTCTTCCCAGAAGCCTCTGGCCATGAGGCATTCCCACCAGTGGTGCAGCCGGTCTTCCAAACAGGGGTGGGTGCACACGTCACAGAAAGCTGAGACTTCCATACCCTTCTCAGAACACTACATTGCCGTGGGCAAACATGAGTGTAGGTGCAACCACTGTAGGCTGCCTACTTTGGGTTCAAGAGAGAGGAGAGGATATATTAAACCACCAATACTTGGCCCAGCTATCGGCCGCGGCGTTTCCCCGTTAGCGCGCCGCGCCTTTCGGGCTTCGGGGTACGGGACCACAATGGCTGGAAGCGCCAGCCAAAAACAATTTGAAACGGTACCCTGGCGGTTCGGCAAAAATTGCCATGCAGGGGGCATTCCAGGCTCGGCATCGATAGCTGGGCCAAAGTACTGGTGGTTTAATATGGATGAAGAAAAGAAGCCATTTGGGGGGGGGGGGGGGGGGGGGCGGGTTTGAGACCAAGGAAGGAGACTCGTTGCTGCTAGTTGAGAGAAAGACCGGCCTGGAGGGATTGTGGTCTTGAGAGGAAATTAGAACCCGCCCTAGCAGAGTACTCAGGAATGGGCACTTTGGTGTAAGAGTTATCCGGTCCTGTGACCGACCAACCGAGCTTGCAAATGTCTACTTTCCAGTGCTTCACGGGGATCGTCTGCATCATGATGTGGAAGGTTGATTCTTCATGCGTGGCCTTCTTCTGTTGGACTCACCTCCTCTATATCTCCTGGGGAGATGACTTCGGGTTCCTTAGACTGATGCAGCTTGGTCTCTTGGAGGGTCCACTCCGAGGCCTCCGCTGTCCCATCCACCCAGAGTTTGTCAATCCTGAAGAAGAGATTCGGGAAGGTTGGGGACTTGTACCACTGATTCAGTTTAGACTGCCATTTCGTCAAAATGGACATCTTTTATTTTTTGAACGAAATTGAAACCAAGTCTTTTGGCCGAAAACTCGTCAAAATTTGCTGTTTCTGAACGCTGGACCCTCAGGAACAGCAAATTTTGACGAGTTTTCGGCCAAAAAACTTGGTTTCATTTTCGTTCAAAAAAATAAAAGATGTCCATTTTGCGAGAGCAGAAGACCATGTTGGGGGAATAGCTGTGGTAACCTCAGTGAGGTGATTTTCAATGCAGCCCAGAGAGGAGTGGCCTGAGGTCATTTGCAGACTTCCACCTGCCGTGTTCGTCATCCCAAATATGCCGAATAAGGCAAATACCGCGGTGCATCCATTTGAGGCCAAAGTTGCCAGGCGCTCTGGCCACAGAAAAGGAGAGCCCCACACATTACCGATAAAAGGGTTTTCAAAGAGACAGCTATTGAGGATTTCCTCCCTGGTGGTAGCCTCCTCGAGGATTTGGGAAAGCATCTTCCCCCAAGCCTTCAAGCTGCTGCTCCAGGTCCTCCCCTCTGATCTGGCGGTAAAGGAATGCGCATTAACAGGTCGTGCCAGACTGCATCCGGGTCTGATAAGTGCCAGTCCTTAGCGAGTGAGTATTGGGCTAGGATAATCCACGTCCGTTTCTCGGTGGCACAGAGTGCGCTCGCTGGCCACTTAGCTAACAGGGCCCCATTCTGAGTTACGGGGTCTATGATTCCCAGACCCCCTGCTCTCTTTTTCTCTGTGATCTTCTCCCAACTAACTTTACTAATGGTGGATTGAGCATACGAGTCTCCTTTCCAAAGCAAGCGGATGAGCATGTGATAAGCCAGGATCCGTACTCGGCGCCCAAACCACGGGTTCTGGGTGATCGGGAAAGGTGGGGCCTATTTTTCTTTTCTTTTCTTTTTGGGAAAACTGCTCCTGGGTCACACTTTTAGTTCAAAACGGCAAAAAAAACACTAAATGGCAATGGGGCTTGTTCGACACTCCTCAGGCTGTCCTCGGGCCCCGAGGAAATTATCCCGGCGTCGCCCGAGGAAATTCGCACCGTCGTTCCACTCATCCTTGGAATTGTTCCCCAAGGACGATTCCTCGGGGCCTCCCACGGCCACTTTCATATATCGACAAGCGGACGCGGGGGGGGGGGAGGAGGTTGGTCCAGCAAGGTGTGTCCGTGCCGACGTCGTTGGTCCAGCTCGGGCGGGCGTTGCGAGTTCGAAAGTTGGCGGCGGAAAAAAAAAAAATGGCACGAAAAAGGCGCGGAGGCCCGGTTCAAAATTTATAATTCGAATTTCCGCAAGCGACCGGCCAGTACCGTGGGCGTCCCTTGTGGCTGACGGCAGCAACGTTCCTCGGCGGAAGCGTTTGGGTACGGGGTGGCAGATGCGTGTCGGCGGGCACGCCGAATGTACATGTACGAGTCCAAAGCAGCAGACACGCCGTCACACGATCGCCGTCGTTGTCGTCTTCGCAGCCGAGCTTGATCGTCGACGTGCACGCTCTGCACTCGGGTCGTCAATCGCAGCAGCGCTGTTGTGCGGCCCGCCACACGTGGAGTCTTCTGCACTTGGCGACGCCCCTCCATACCGTACCAGTTTTGGCGATGGAGGCGAACGGGGGGACGGGACGTGACACACTGAGCAAGGAGGAGAGGACGGCCGTGGCAGCGGCTGTGAATGCCATCCTCTTCCGGTGTCAATTGCAGAGGGGCGAGGGGAAGATGAGAGCGGCCATTCGCCCACGGCGGAAGAGGACGCTGCAGTCCACGAATATGGAGGGAGAGGACAGTGGTCCCATTTGCGACGTCGTGCTGCAGGTGTGCTACGCCATAGGGTGTGGAGCATTCCCCAGAGCGACGCCCAGGTGGTGGATGAAGCGACGGACAGGCGGGACGTGGGAGGATTTTCGGTGCGACGGCGGACTACTTCAAGGACAAGCTGCGCATGTCGCCACGTGTGTTTCGAGAGATCACGAAAGCTTTGTCTCCCTTCCTTGAACGGCGTGTCACTTTCTATAGGGAGCCCCTCCAGCCTGACCACATTGTCGCGTACGCTTTGTGCAAATGGGCGTCGGGGGAGACGTACGAGAGCGGGACATGCAGCTTCGGCATTGGCAGATCTTCCGGGTTGGTGGCTGTGCGGGATGTAACTGCGGTGTTGCTGAGTGCGTACCCCGACAAGATATCCTGACCGACGGGTCTGCAGACGGCTGTCGTCTTGCACGCTTTCGTTGATAAGGGTTTCCCTAACTGCCATGGGTGCATCGACTGCACCCACATCTTCATCGACAAGCCAGGGAATTGCCCCGGGGAGGACTGCTACGATATAAAACACCGTTTATCCGTCCAGGCGCAGGTCGTCGTCGATTTGAACTTGCGCGTGTTGGATGTGTTTGTCGGTTATCCCGGAAGTTGCCACAACGTGAGGATCGTCCACCTGTCCAGTTTATGAGCGCGAGGGGAGGCGGGGGAACTTTTCACTGGGCCACCTGTCATGCTGCCTTTCGGTGTGCGGACGAACGACTATATGTTGGGGGACAACGGTTATCCGCCCTCCGAATGGGTAGTCGTCCCCTACAGCGGTCTCTCACAAACCCCGTCGGACTTGCGCTTCGACAACAAGCAGAAGACGGCGAGGGGAACAGTTGAGAGGACTTTCGGGAGACTGAAGGGGATGTGGAGGTTGTTCCTTCGCTCCAACAAGACGAACATGGAGACGTTGCCGCAGCAGTTCGTCGCAGTCTGCATTCAGCACAACATACTCATCGACGCGGGCATCCCCTTCGACGACAATCTACTGTGGAATGTTGGCCCGGACGGTGTGCGTCGCAGGGTGGATCTTGGGATAGAGCGTCCCTTGAGGCCGATGTGTATGGAGTCGTCGACAGGGGATGCGTTGATTCTACGAGACGCACTGGCGGAGCGAATGGGGGCGCAGTGAACACGACCTGGCGTGCGGAGCAGTCGACTGTGATGACGTGGTTGTGGCGACAATTCGTTGCGGGAGACGCAGGGAGCAGGCGAGAAATCGTGGACGACGATGCGGGAGGCGTCTTATCCCGGAAGGGGTGGTCTTTTGACTTGGGGTCGTTGTGTGTGCAGGCCGTTTAACGGAATTGGCGAGTTGAAGCAGCGGTGGCTGTCTCGTTGCGGGTTGCTGTGCAGGGGCGGCTTGTCTTGTTAGTTTTTTACTGTTTTGTTTCGCACTGCGCGCCTTTGACGATGGTGTGCGCGCCTTGGGTTGATGGCAATGGCGCAGTCCAGCACGTAGTCGGCGGGGGTGACGTGGCGCGTGTGTACGTGCCGATAGTAGTTGTCGTGTGTTGTGCTGTCACCGCGGGTGGCGTGTCAGGGTGACGTACTGAAATCCTCATCTTGTGTTTTGTTTTCCAGAAGTTTGGATTGAGCTTGCCTTTTGGGCCTTTATTTTTTGCAAACTGTGTCGTCGACCACTGATTTTTTTGTGCAAGACACAACTATGAAGTTTGTTGCGTATCGTGTATCAATGTTGAGTTCCTTGTTTTCTTCTTTGTGGACGAATAAAAAGCGCATGAATCGGACGACATTGTTGTGTGTTATTTGTACTGCCGTGTCTGCTTTCAACATGTGCAATGTCGTGTGTGAACATCTCTCAGTTTGTCATCAAACATCGGTTCAAGCAAGCATCCCAGACCCCGTTACGTACCCCTCACCATAGCTGTCATGAATGCAAACGAAAGCGGAACAAAACAGGAAGCCAGAACATGACGTACACGTCAACAATATGAATCAACACAATTACATGTTCGCTTTCACAGACGCGAACATCGATTTCGCATGCTTGAAAAAAAAGAATAAAAGTTTATAGAAAACGAAAGGTTCATGAAAAACCTCTACGACAACCAATCCGCACTACTCTCCCAGAACGCCCACGTCGACGTATGTGCACTGCGACATGACGACTGGGACCCGTCTTCGAGCAAGTGAAGGCAGAGCAGCACCGCGCTAAAGAAAACAACAAGCGTGACGAACACACACATGCAGGACGCCCAAGAACACGCACATGTAGGGAATATGCGTCTCATATAAAAAATGAAAGTACATAATGCACTTCATCGGTGCCAACACAAATTCAAAGATGACGGATTTATCTGTCCTGGGAAACGACAGTAGCCTGTGAGAAACCCAAAAATAAACGCGAAAAAAAATACAAAAAAAAAGAAACAGACGCCGAAGTGACTGGAGGAATCATCCACCCAATCGGGCCACCACCGACTTCCCTGGCCAGCACGGCCAATCGGGAACCAGCACGTCCAAGACAGGCAATTGACGGGTACATCGACGACGACATCGCTCTCACTTTCGTTTTGTGCAGACGATGGGAGCGACGAGGCGCACAAAAGAGGCAGCACGTAGTCTAACGCTCGCGGATGGCCTTCGCTATCTCCAGGAGAGCGTGACACATCAGTTTGCGGACTTCGTCGGACGCTACATTGTGTTTTTTTTGCACTTCGACCTCCGCTTCCAACGCCTCGCGTTGTCGGATTTGGATGGAGCACTGCTGCTTGCTGTTGCTCTCCATTGTCGACGCCACCAGTGCCCCGTGCTTCTCCATGCAGTCCGTCTGCGCTTCGCAAGTTTGCTGCCTCGTGCTCTTCCTCTTCCCGAAACCGACAACGCTTCCCGTCGTCTGCGAAGAACCTCTCGTCGACCCGTCGTCGTCGTCCTCGTGGCCTGCAGCAGCGTCGCCATCGCCCACAGATTCATGATCCGCAGAAGTGCTAGACGGCAGACGCACACCACCCGGAGCACTAGTGTCGGTGACGTTCTTCGGGTTAATGGTGTGGCTCTTGGCGGTCGACCCCAGAATCTCATCGTACACCGCACGATCCATGTTGAAATTGAAGCCCTTCGACAACCTCTCTTTCCCAGAGAATTGGAAGAAGTCCTGTTTCCCGGACAAGCCTTGGAAGTGATGCACCTTCTTGAACTGCTGCATCAAATTGTCCCACTTCTTCCCGCACCGTTCTGCTTCTCTGTCGACGCCCACCTTCTTCAACCTCTGCTCCACATCCAACCACTTCCACTCTCGCGGCTTCATACAAGCGAACGCGGTGCCCATCCCCTGCAGATGCGCGCTGTGGTCATGTTTAGCCCGGATGAGGGCTATCATGTCGTCCACAGACCAGAACTGACGACCTTCTTCTGCATCATCGTCAGCTTCGGCATCGCTCCCCTTCCCCACCGCTTTTTTCGCTCGACGACCATTGCGAGCACACACCCTCGTCTTCCCGCCCCTCCCTCCCATGCTGCTTTGCCTCTCCGGTGATACGTGACCTGCGTCCTCCTCCCCACCTTCGCCGTCGTCGTCGTTCCACTCCTGATCGTTCGCGCCCACGGCAGGTGCGTCGCTGTCGTTTTCGTGGTTCCCCCCACGCAGTCGCTGCACCCCCTCAGTTATGGATTCCTCCCACCGAGGATGAAGCGTCCGTCGATGTTCTGCCCACACCTCCCTCCCGTCGCGTGCATCACCAGCGTCATCGATGCCACAATCAGGCCCCCCGCATTCTCCTCGACGGCGGGCTGCAGTCGAACTAGCGGATAGGGGAGACAGAGACTGCATCCACAGGGGGCGAGCTGAGGCACCCCTCGACATAGACGACGTCCGACATTGCGGCCTCGGAGGATCCCTGTTGTTCCCCGACGCGTACCGGACCGGCGTTGGAGACTTCGATGACCATGCAACAGACGTCACCTGCCCGCCGTCGTCGTCGGGATGGTTGTCGACGATCACCGTTCGAGAGGCGGCCGATGACCTCCCACTACACAGGCCGAACGACTGATTGACACAGCCATCGCCTTCGTCGCCACTCAACCCCTGCTGGAGGAGTTGGGTGTACGACAGCCCATAACCGCCGTCGCGGCTTCCACAGAGCTCTGTAGCCGCCCACTCCTGGGTGGACCCACTTCCCAGCGGCACGCTCCATGACCGTCTGTCCTCCACCTCCTCGTCGGACGTGTCTGACAGAGGCTGCAAGTGCTGTGGCAGGTGCGTGTACCCAGCACGCTCTGACGGCCTTGAACTTCTCGACGGGCTCTGCCCAGGTCGCTGGCCACCACCCTGATCCCCTGCAGACCTGCACATCCCCTGCCGCCCCTCCATACCGACGTCCTACTTCGAAGACTGTCTTCTACGGCCACGTCACGGAACGATGCCGAGGATGCAGACGTGGAAGACAACCAAGAGGAGGAGCAGGAGGATGACCAGCACCAGCAGCGGCAGCCTCCGAAAGACGTCGGCCATGAAACGCATGTGGACAACGCCAACAAATAGAAGACAACCGTGGACGTCCAGGAAACCACGAGGGTAAGTGGCGCAAACGGGACATCACAGCTATCGACAAAAGCAGGGTAACGTATTCCGTCGCTGGAGACACTGCGCAATCGGGAGAGCGGGGGCGGGCTGAAGTATTTGAATCTGCCGACCGTTGGGCGCTTTCCCGCTAGTGCCGAAGGACAGCAACGCAAGGCAGCCCCTTTCTGACATCGTTGAGGAGGGCAGGCCGCCAAAGGGAACCGTTGGCGGAGTGTTCCATGACGTCGACCGTTGTCAACCGGAGATGTCCATCTACGGGCCGCCAGGAACAACAATGGACCAGCCGCGTCGAAAATTGTCGTCGAGAGAGCTGCCGTTGATGCCCCGATTCTTCCGGATGCTCGACCTCCAAGGAACCTCGGGAGGTCCTTTGGGGAACGCATCGTAACGGTTGTAGCCCGAGGAATCCCCGAGGAAATGTTTTCACATTTTTTTTTCGTTTTGTTCCCCGAGGAATAATAGAACGATGATTTCCTCGGGGATTTTACGCGCCCGAGGAGTGTCGAATGAGCCCCAATGTCCTCGTTGTCGAAGTTCAAATCGGCAAAAAAAACCTTATTTGGCATAAAGTGCCATAAACATCACTAACAGTGCTGCTTCCACGAATGCATCTGTCGAGAATATTAGCTCGGTTCATTCCTTGTTGTGTTGTTGTTTTTTTTTGCTGTTGGCACTTGATTTCGTGCCCTGCCAACGAGCAGGGCGTTTTCCACGGAGAACAAACGTGCAGACGAAAAAAAAAAAAACACCGGACAGCTGAGACTCTCCAAAAACGGAAAAAAAAAAACGAAGTTGAAAAGCAGGTCGTGGGGGGGGGAAGCCGTGGCCGCATGGTTGGGCAGCTGAGAATCTCCAAAAAAACGGACAGCTGAGACTCTCCAAAAAACGAAAAAAAAAAAAAAAGAAGGTGTTTCGGCCCCATGGTTGGACCACGGCCGAGATGTCTCGACCACACCCCATATTGGCCACAGCCGAGATGTCTTGGGCACACCCCAGATTGGCCATGGCTGAGATGTCTCGGCCACACCCGGTATTGGCCACGACCGAGATGTCTCGGCCACACCCCACATTGGCCACGACCGAGATGTCTAGGCGACACCCCAGATTGTTCACGGCCGAGATGTCTTGGCCACACCCCAAATTGGCCACGGCCGAGATGTCTCGGCCACACCCAATATTGGCAACGGCCGAGATGTCTCGGCCACACCCCAGATTGGCCACAGCCCATATGTCGTGTGGTGGGGCGTGGCGGGGCCGCCCTAGACAATATTCAGAATTAGGGGGGATTCGAACGTGGGTTTGCATTTGCAGGGATGGAGCCAGAGAAGAAAAAGGAAAGAAAAAAAAAAAAAACGAAAAAAAAAACGAGGAACTATGTGAATCCACGCCGTGGGGAAGACCCTCAGGTAGGTGGAAGTTACACCACTGCTTTGAGGAATGTATCTGGCCAGTATGTGAGGACCGTGAGACATGTCCTTTTTTTTGGTTGCTTTTTGTTGTGAGGTCCTGTAGCGCCCTGCCAGCCAGGCAGGGCGGATTCCACGGGAGGCACTGTTATTATTGTCGTTTTGAACCAAGCTCGAGATGGACCTATGGACGACTGTTTTTTTGCCTATTACGAACGTTGGTTGTGACCCACGAGCTGTTACCCCTTTCTTTTTGTCCTTCTTGAAACAGAGGGGGGGGACGGAATAGAAACTTATGATTTCTCCGCGCGGACGGTTAGCGACCATGTCGAGAAATCCAAGAAACAGTTAGGAATTAGGGTGGGCGGGAATTTTAATTTCTGCATGATGATGCGCGCGCGGCAAATTTTCAATTTTTTGTACGCGGCGTAAACCCGCTCCCTCGCTTTGCATCTCCGTGCCATCTTCCGTTCTTGCTATGCGCTCCTTTTCTTGCATGCCTCTTCGTCTTCCCGCGAGCGATTGACCATATAGTTGGGATGGTCGGATCAATGTGGTGAAAGCGGAAAGTGCGCACCACATGAACGACCACCCCAATCACACGGAACGTTCGAATTGCCTCCTTCGATCGTCTTGGAACCTTGGCCTTTCTTCCGTCCCGCTCATCTACACCCTTGCTACCCGTATGTTGCGCTGACACCCCGCCGCCTTCCTTGCCATAAATTCTCGCAGCCCCTTCCTCTCCTCCTCTTTGATCTCGGCTGCAATGCTGCATGAGCTATGTGCGAGGGCCGCGACGTCGAACAGGCTTGACGTGCCCAAGGACGGGTGGAGTGACGGTGTGGGACAGGTTTAGCGATAGACTTGGGGTAAGACAGTCGGAGTGACGGAACGGTGGTGGAGATCGAACACTGCCAGCGGCAAGGGCTTGTGGCTATGGTTGGTGGAAGTTCAGATTGATTGGGGGGGGCTGTGCCTGAAGGAGGTCAGTCGAGTGTGAAATTTTGAATAGTGAGGGACTCACTTTTATCTCCACTGCTGCTTTGTCCAAGTGTGATGTGTGCAAGGTCCCGAAGTATGGGTATTTTGTTATATGCATGTTGTGGTACGAGAGTCTATAGAGGCTGAATGTCTCACTGTTCAAGATAGTTGGATGAGTAGATGTATGGGGGCTTACAGGCGCACCTGTGGGGAATGTGGGGTGTCAACCGTCCGCATGGATGCATAAGTGTGTTCGATCTCCCTCCCTTCCCCGACCCCCTTCCGATCCCGATGCTGCGTGTATGCGTGGGATTGACGCTAAACTCTTTCCTTTCTCTCCCCCTTCTTGCACGTAGGAGATCTGGGACAATTGGGTTGGCGTCGCCCCACGATTTACACTCGATAAATTGGGGAGACCAGTCGCCCGCGTCTCTGCGACACGACTGATATCTACGTGACTCGAACGAGATCACCGTCGTCCTATTAACTAAACAACGATCACGACCCCAGATCCCTAAACCAACATTCAGGTTGACGCAGAGAGAGAAAGAGAGAAAGTAAGGCGGGTTTTGCATAGAGTCAGCGTTCGTCTCGACAGACGCGAGCAAGCGCCCTTGCCCGTGCTCAACCTTCGTATTGGTCCATCACAATGTGCTACCATCCTTCTCGATCGCAGACGACGACAACGTGTACTGCGGCGCGGACATGCGGAGCACTCTGCGACGAACCGAGCAGATTCATCTGTAGAACCCTGTTAGGCCCTGCCACATACGAGGGAGTCGGTTTGTGTTGATTGATAAAGTCTCTTCCCCTCCTCTAATATTGCCGTGCACTGATCTGACAGTGTTGCCTTGGTCCGCAGCCCACGCCACGTAGAGGCCTCAATTTAACTGTCGTTGCCGTCGTCAAGGGGATTTGTGTTCCTGACGAAGAATAGTTATGAAATACAAAGGTGCGACTCGATTCCCAAAACTCTCCCGCAACGTGGGCGCACTCCCGGCTAACTTTCGAACCTGGGTTCCCTCCGCCCAACTGACACTCGGTGACACCACGCTAGGACGCTTGCGCGGGCTCGACGAATCTAACATCGAGGCCTGAAAATTCCATATTCTTTAGCGGCCGCCACAAAGTTCTTGAGAACCGCGTGCAAAAGGGAAGCAGTAAATTCTGCTTCCTTGTCCTTTTCTTTTCCTTTTCGGGTTTTGTTGATGGTCGACCAAGTAGCGCGCCGCTTTCCGTCTCCTCGGCTAGCATAAATTTTTGAAAACAGGACAGAGCGGGTCGCTTCGGAATAATCTCTCTCTCCATCCCTTGTATCTTTTGCCATTAACGAAGGCCCAAGTTCGAGGAACGCCTTGGTATGAAACAAGAATCCCCCGTTCCGCCTGGGCGATTCAACCCCACCGGCCAAAAATCCTTGGCCACACCCCAATTTTACTCTGATCGCCGTTCAGGTACGGGACGACGCAAGGGGTGTGAGGTTTGCGCATCACAAGTAAGCGTTTAGTATTAATGGTTGAGGAATGACTTAGTGGCCTGATTAAGAGAATGTACCATACTTTGGATGACATAAAAGTGTTGATCATCATAGCTCTACCCATCAGCAATAGAAATTTGGTATGATAGAGTCTTCAATCGACGACAAGTTTCTGAAGGACACCTGGATACCCAAGTATCTTTTTGCTTCAGTCCTAGATTTTAATGGGATGCCCAGGTCCAATGCAAGGGGATGACCATAAGGGGTGGGGGCCACCGACTTTTACCAACTCACTCGCATCTCAGAGGCAGCCTCGTAGACTGATAGACAATCTTCCAGAGCGGAGAGAGAGGTCGCTGAATTCTCATAAACTGAAGAAAAATCATCAGGCAAAGGGTCTGCCGTCCCTCACATCCAGCCCCTTGAGGCTCACCATGCCAGGTCCAGCCTCTGGCACAAGTGCTCTGGCATAGATCAGGTCAGTTGCTTTTTCCATTTACCGGTTACACCTAACTCCTACTATTTACCTCCCTATCTCGGCAAGTTGTAACCTAACTGGTTCCCGATTGGCGTGGCGCTCCTTCCAACCCCTTGTCCCACGTTCTTCTGCCCTGAGGCTCCTGCTGCGGAGATAAATTGAGCATTGAGGTTATACCTCTTCCTTGAGAAGCCAACTGTTCAACACAGTCAGTCCATTTTCGACTCCTACTAACTTTCCCTCAGTGGCGCAATGCATGTCTCAATGAACCACTGCCTCTCCAAATTTCTTTCCATAGGACACCTTTTGGGCCACTGTTTGCCTCCAATCTCCCTGAGTGGTGGTCCTAGATGTCTTTTGGTATTGTGTTTGGTTGCCAAGTCCGATAAGAATCTCCCCTCAAACAGAGGTCTGTTCCAAACTTCCCGGATGCTTGCCCTATGTATCCCCACCCTTTGTCACGGGCCATACCATATG